ACTCAGTGTATTTAGTATTTGGCACGGATGCACTAGACTTCATTTGCAGTAAAGCAATGAATACTTTTTTTGTAAGCAGAAGTACTCTTGTTCCCTTCACTGCATACACTTCTAAGTCCATTATTTCCTGGACTCGATCTGGCCAACATCAAATAACTTTCGCATGGAATATCAGTTCACTTGATACAAAGGTGATACAGAATGATAATTCTTGCAGTACATAGATACCAAGGATACCTCTACTAGCATCCACATCAGAGATAACTATCTTTTTCTGTGAGTGATATGTCCTAGATACAATTGGAGATATACCTCTTCAATCATGTTAATTCTATCTCCATTTTCCAGATTAGGGTCAATATCCATTGGACAGAGTGGTGATCTCACTTCGAGGTCTAGTATACCAATAGCTCTATTAGTGTTCTGGACACTCCTGTAGCAATTGGAACAGAAACTCTCGTCCTTGTATCTTTAGAGGTACGTACAAAGCTCCACCCAGTCCCACAAAAGCTGGACTGACAATCTCACTTTTGGCACAAGCTATATGTCATGCTTCACCAATTCAGTGGCCAGGCCTAACTTGGGCTCCGTTAATTTTCTGTATCTGTAGTGACGGCATTTATTGTTTGCACTTGTTTCTTCTAGACTGCTGTGCCATTGGTCAAAACTGATAGCATAACCTTACTTTCCTGCTCAGCAATGTATGTACAGTTCACTCAAAGAAAGTGAACCAATATACCCTAATAAAAAATAATTTCTTCCTCTTTTCCAGAATGATGTCTGGATGGAGCTATCATCAGCATAGGGGAAGCATAAAAATAATGGGACGACTGGGATAGACCTACTTGTTCACTGGAAACCAATGTGGATGTATCATAGCATTGGGATGTGCGGCTAGCTAGTTAACCCTTGGTTTAGCTCGAGTTCGGTGTGATGTAAGTACTTGGATAGGATGCTTTATTGCAAGGAAGACTGTCTCTGTAAGTGTGAGAATATCTCTCACACCCAGTTGATGCGTCGTTATTTTGTATGGAAAACCCTTGACTAACTTATCAAAGAGGATGTATTTGCAGTGTGAAGAGGTCATTGCATGGTTTTTTTCTTCTAAACCTTGAACACGACCCAATAAATTGCTTGATTTTCTACCGGGTTGTCTCACTCACAATGACCTGTGGTTGTTGCATAACCCTTGCGAGCTCTTGGCAAGTACCTGGCTTAGAAGCTTCCAATTGTCTGATATGGTGAAATAGATGTAATCAGGAACTTAAGATCTCGGATGAGTAGTTAGTCGGTTCCTGGTTCAGGACAGCAAAGTGATAAGTTACTTCTAGCAGTTAGTTCATTCTCAGCTCTGCACGACTCCAGCTTTCATCACAATTCACAGTTACGCCAGTAGGATTATTCTCGGCTTGGAGAGGCTCCTGACTACCTCATAGTTCACGTTCTTCACTAGTTTGGGCCTACTGTCTCACTTGCTAGAGAAACAACTCTGACTGTCGGATTTTGTCCACCCATTAGCAGCACTTTCAGTCCTTCTTGCCCAAGCTCGAGTGGCCTAACCCATAGCCGAAGTTGTGTTACTCTGGCTGGCAATGGCTTAAGAGACTACCATATATGGTTTCAGATTGACCAGATGCTATTCCACCTCAGTGACCCTAGGCTATCAGTGCCTCCCTTGCACTGAGATGATTCTCAGGGACAAAACCTAATCTACCATTCTGGGTGCACCAGACTTTGGCTGATCTTCCTGAGTCTGCAGCTGCATAGAGATATCAAAGTCATAGACCTTCATAGCATCAATGGAAGTATCACATGCCTGATAGGACTGCTTTTAGAATCAACAACTCACTCATACAACCATCTCTCTTTTCCTCTCAGTAGTATTTCTTCTTGCAGAAAATGTTTTTTAAGTAAATAGAATTTTTAAAACTCGATTACACAAGAGTTCGAGTAAGGGCAATGCACACATTAGCAGAATACAGAAAACTACAGAATAATATTGTATGGTCATGATACCAAACCTGCTTCGTGTTTACTCTCTGGTATTTTCTGATAAACTGATTTTCTGAAAGAGTAAATAAGATAGGTCCGCTATATAAAACTACCTGAGTCTTTGCTAAGAAATAAATGGAATGGACATAAAGTGTGATACACAGTGAAAACAATCGTTAATAATATCATAATCACAGTGTATGTACTTGTATTGGATACTGGACAGTCACCTTTACTAGAGTTGTGAATTGATCAAGCTGGCTCTATTCCCTGAAGACTAATTTTCAGACTGACTGACTCACTTAAAATAATGTTCCAGACTGACTAAATCTCATGTTTCTTAGTTGAATCAGTAAAGCCAGACTTACCCAGAGCAACCAGTGCTACCTACGTGATTGGTCATTCCTATTCTAACATAAAGAAGGTTTTAACCTCGAGATATTATATGACTTGCTGTTGCAGGAATGGGTAGAAATAATGAGTTCATGGGACACAATGAACCTTGGTTCAGGACACAGGAGGCAAAAAAAATACAAAATTGGTTTCGTTTTACAGTAGTATTTCTATGTAAATGGGTATGTATATTATAGAGATAGCATATAGCACTTACAAGTTAACCTTTCCATGCTCTTTCTAATCATAGTTAAATACACCCTTCACTTGTTACAAAGCTGTGTTTTATAATCAACTGATCAAACCACATGATGTGACATCATAAAAGGGTGACAACCAAGCCATGCATTTAACAGCAGTAAAAGAGAAGTAAGATCACAAGAGAAACAGGACATGGATAATATATTCATGGGATGATATCTTTTTTAGCAAATAGAAAC